ATATATATATATATATATATATATACGTGATTCTGTGGCATTGTCTGTTGATGTGATGTCTTCAAGATACATATTTGATTCCAGATGTATGATTATCGCAGTGATTTTCGAGCAGATAGATTGGAATGTCGTTGTCTTTGATATGTTCTGTTCTCCATTATAGCGCAATTGCTCGTGTAAGGGCGTAAACGATCGACATCAGCAGCAAAAATGTACATACAGATAAGAGCTATACAGTCAATGGCACAAGAATGTCATCAGCAATTCTCTAAAAAAAACCGAGTATATTAAAAATTAAAGTTATATTTTAAAAGTACATTACATTACATTGATTAATTATAAAATGCATTTACTTATAATTATTATGGCATTCAATCACCATTATAGTTTATTGTGTATTATTTTGCTTTTTATCAGACGTTTTTTCGAAATTTTTGCAAACTAAAAATAATACACACAAAAGAAGTATTTAATTTTAAGATATTAAAATGTTTATTCTTGTTTTCATTTTTTAAACACTTAAAAAGATGTTTCAGTTTTAAAGATTTTCAATAAACAAAACACTACTGTGTTTAAACATTAAACGTTTAAAATTGAAATATTAAACGGTTGTTTATTATTAAACGTTTATTGTACAATACAAAGATATCTTAAACGTAAACATTTTAAACGCTGCACTTTTTACAATGTATTAATCAATGGATTGGCCTTCTCAATCTCTCCAAATGCAATTAAAAATCTGGTCATCAATCAAGATAAAACTTTGAAAAAAATGTCTATATTTAGACAGAAATTTCAATCTTGATGTACAGTATAAATTACAATAAGCAAATTGTGATAATAATAATCGCATTCGATTATAATTTAAAGTTTTAAATTGCGTAATGAAGCGATACTAATTTTCTGTTACATTAAGAATCTACTATTACCAGCAAAAATTTATGAGTTCATCGAACATCGATTAAATCCCATACAAATATCAATTAATTCAATCGTTTTTCGATGTCAGTTAATGTCTACATGAATTAACAATATGGTCGAGTGTTAAACTACAAGGACGCATATTATCTCTTGCAATTTGCACTAATGACGATACTTATGACGATGTTAAATAGAAATTATTTTTTATTTTCGTATGTAACATGCGCAGTTATACATTGCACATTTTGCAAATTTTTAATAGCAAATCATCAGAATTCTGTATCTGTATATCACGAACTAGATTCATGATAACACGAAATTGTTGTTAATTCCAAGCTATAAAACCATAAAGCCATAAAGTCTTGATAAAACTTTATGAGCATTCTTAAATGAAAATAGACCACTTGAATCAAACATACTTGAATAAAAACCATATTCGGTCAAGGCGATTTTTCCTAATAATATTTCTTGAATTTATACAATTTCGTCAACAGATGTCACGCGAAGTCTAAGACACTCTATGTATTTATAAAACATATGCTGTTTTTTATTTTATTTATACTATTATATTTTTAATTTTGTACTATTAAGAAATAGAAAATAGTAAATTGAAAATAGAAAATAGAAGTATTTTGTTTAACCATGAAATATCGAAATGTCAAATAAGTATTATCTTATTTCAATTAAATGTTAATATATATAGTAAATATTATTTGCCTTCCTTATATTTATTACAAAATATCTATTTCAAATAATATTTCTATAAATGTATCCTTTAAACAAAAATATTTCTAATGAATCTATTTCAATTTTTTCCCTACATTAAAAATATATATTTATTATTTTCTATTTCAGCTAACTATTTTCCGCAGCACAGGTCTCCTCTGGTAATGTAACTCTTTTTACTGGAAAACCTAGTAAAAAATAAAATCTATTGTAATAAATCGCTATAAAATTATACAATTATGTGGTACAATTATGTAATCATTGCGGGTCGATCCAAGGCTGATTACATAGATATTCTATGATATTAAAAACGGGGACATCACAGATCCTAAGTATCCTAAACTATATCTATTTGTCCCTGAACCTGCAAGAACGCCTGTTGCTCTTATGGAGCGTATATAAGACTGTCGGCGTTCTATTACAATGCGCAGTGTTAGATTACCACCTCGTCGACAACAATCGAGCATCACGTTAGCACTTGGAAAACTTGCTTCCACAGTTACAATTTGTACATTTGCTTGAAGTGTAGTAAAACTCGCGGATCTTATCGTTCATCATGGAGAACGTACGTGCATCAAATCGGGTTAATGCGATTCGCATTGATAGCGACAAGACCGCCACTAATTTTGTGAAAGATGCACCGAAGATTACGAGATACTCGGTAAGAAGTTAAACGAATAAGTTGAGATAATTGAAATGATAATCCGCGCACATTTTCTGACATTTTAAAGACTAAATTAGTATTTGATGTTTTTGACATAATATATTGAACACTTTGGAAGAGATATAATTACTGAAGCTCTACTTTTTATGATTGAAGTACCTCTTGAGCCCAATTGAATAGATAAACAATCCCATGCAGCATGAAATATTTCAGAAATTTTTTCATAAAATCTTTCTAAAATATAAATATGTTCAGGAAATCAAAATTTTTGAAATATTTTTTTTACAATATTTGTACAATATTTCTAAAATATTGCTAAAATATTTTAAGATTCTTATTTTAATATATTTGCAATTTTTTATAATATTTACAAAATATTTCTAAAATATTTTATTGAAATATTTCAAAAAATAATAAATATTTCACATACATATTTTATACCATAGATAATTATTTTATTTATAAGAATATATCAGTCTTTATAGTCTTTATTTATTAGTTTTTTAAAATTATTTTCGTATATGTTATGCATTCGCGTTTTTTCTTTAAAATATCGCTATATTATTTTACGAAAAAATATAGAGATTGTTTTCGTATATACTTTCGAGTCGAAATATTCGTATCAAGAGATATGTCTTAGGTCAACAGATTATTAACTAAACAGATTAATATGACTCCAGAAAGAGAGTCATGCATGTATCTGTGAACAATTATACTGTTTTCAATTTTTGATCAAGTGTGATACTCTTTCTTAATAAATTATACTTTTCTGAAGGATAGAATGAGTTTCATTCTTTGCATTGGTGATGATGTACGCGTAAATGCAGTGCTTTAGTGCGAAATAATCTAATCATTTTCTCACGATAATTGTAGGATGTCAGAAATTATTATGCAGATTATTAATTAATTACGCTGAAAAAAATCGTAAGAACTTTTGTAATGTAAGTAATGACACGCTCCCTTTGACATGACACAACTCAAATGATGACAACGCGTCTTACCCAATTATATCCTTTAAATGTAATGACGCGTAATATTCAAAGAGTGGCTCCTTTAATTGCGACACATATTATCAGCGTATTAAGCAATTAAGCGATTATTTTAAATTATAATTTAGCAAATGATTAAATGACTTATTAGAAGAAGGACATTTTAAATTATACGATGATGAACAATAACGGTGTAACATTCAAGGCAAAGGAGTTTTGCATTCTGCAAGGTTTCCTTACGTTCTAAATAACACGTCGTGATATCATGTAGCAGAGTAAAACGTCTCAGAAAATATTTGTGTAATATCAGAAAAAATTGAATCAAAATTTAAAACAAATTGAATCAAATTAAAAAAATTTTTCTAAACATTTTCAGAGGATTTTTAATTTTACATTATTTTATATACATATCTATGTCGTTTGCAAACCATGTTAAACCCAGCAAACAAGCTGACGTTATTTGTCGTCGTTTTGATGATGTTTAACGTTATTTTGACGTCAAAATGACGACAAATAACGTCAACTTTACTGGAAACGCACATTGCATCTGCATGCGCAGGCAGTCTTATCAACTCTTACAAATTACTGCTTGGAAATAGATCAATGACAAATTAGCGTTGGACGACGTTGACCGCGGAATGGTTGCTCGTGATAGAACGCATTGAATAAATGAGACTGTCTCATCCATATATCCAGCATGATGTACAGTGTAATGAGCTGGCGCATCATTAATCATTTCTATGTATAAAAGTCTCCTCTGAATTTTCGAGAATCGTGTTGCAGCGTGCGCGCAAATTATGCTGAATTTGCATTTCCTATTGTATAGGAATTGAACGACGCGTGTCTCATGTTCCGATTAACTATATACAACTATGTACCCTAAGGTACAATCAGATCTAAATAAGATATATATCGATCATTAAATAAAACAACGTTCAAGGTCAATAATTTGTCAGATAATCTCGTTAAATATTTTCCTTCTCGATCGTTTTATTGTAAAATATTAATTAATAAGTATTAACGCTTTTAATTTTTTTTTATAATTTCTAAAAAAAATTAAATAATAAATTATTAATAATAAATTATTAAATTTAAATAAAAAAAGAATATCAATTTCTAAATATAAAATTGTATTATAATGTATTATAATCTTTTCTTACAATATCAAATAATTTTTGAATTGTGAAGTCTCACAATTAATATTTTCGTAATGTTTTTATTTCAGTTGGCCGATTTGGCTGACGGATCCAGCAACGGTATGGATTATCATATCGAGATAATTAATAAGGATGATAAACTGAGAGTGCTAAAATTCTTAAGAAGATTCTTCTTCAGAGATGAGCCGTTGAATCAGAGCATTCAATTGATTCCGGAGGGTGAAGACAGTACTTGTGCGGAACTGGAGGAATACTGTTGCAATGCCTCATTTGAAAATAACATGAGTCTAATGGCAGTTTCCGCGAGTGGTACAATTGTTGGAGTTCTACTTAATGGTAAAGCTGTAGTGGCAATCTTTTGTTAGCTTTATGAATGCTCGATTAAACACTTCTTTCTGAAAACGATGTTTTTTTCTCAATGTTTTGAAAAACATTTCGAATTCGATTTTGACATTGTCTTTGCAATTTCGTTTCTCATGCGTTTTATGTCATTTTGATCAATTGCATCTTCTAAGTAATAGTCATCAAGTACATATTCTCAGAAAAGAATTTTAAGTGACGTAAAAAAAATTTCGAATTGACAACAATACTGAATATTTATTTCCATTTTGATAATAACATCAGTGATTAAAATTATTTTACTATTATTTGTTGTCCATCGACTGTTGTCTATAATATTTTATTAAATATTATTCTTATTAATTTGATTTCTCATATTTATAATAAAATAAAGAACATTTATTAATTTACATATATTAACGTTTCTTCAGATAAATTAATTTATATTTGTTAAATATATAAAAGATAAAAGAAAAAAAATGTGCGTATTATCTTCTTTATCTTTTTGAAATATTGATGTATCGTCTCGCTTGAGCAAATGCAAAAATTGTCAGTTAATTTGAAACGTATCTTAACTGTATTTAAATAAATGCACATCGAGAGAAGAGACTAAAGAAATACAACGGTACCGTGAGATTATGTAAAATGCTACGGATCTCGAATAATACCGAGAGTTATTATCCGATACCGGTTGTGACTTGAAATAGATAATTATATCATGTAATTTGCTGATAAATATGTATCTACATTAAAATGCACAAACAACTATTACGCGACATTCGAAAATCGCATTCATATATTATCTTCCGTGTGTAAATCGTTAACCGTACTGCGAAGATGTTAATCATATATTTAAAATGCAATTTAACATCAATAATGAATAAATAATGTAAATAACAGCTTAAGTTAAATAGTAGCAGAAGCAAAAACAGATAGCAAAATTGAAAATCACACACACAAAAGGAGATACTTATAAAATTTATATTTTTTTAAATTTAATATTTTTAAATAAAGAAAAGAAAGAGAAAAAAGAATGGAAAATATATCTATAAAAATATTTAAAAATATTATTATCATTTACAAATGAAAAATATTGTTGATACAGCAGTAATAAATATATAATTTAGCAGAAAACATATAGAAACATTAACTGAATTTATCCAGATATCATTCGTTTTATCTTTTATTATGCAGAATTATTAATTTGCAAAGTTCATAAAAAAGATCACGTAACACAAGAATCGGGAAATATAATTCCTTCATTAAAAACTGGAAATACAGCTATAACATGTTTCATATTAGACAATAAGACATTCAGAAACAGTAAGATTTCATATACAAATATTTTGTAAGTTTTATTAGATAACACGCTGCTATTATAAATAAATGTTTAAGTAAATTAATTTAGAATTGTTTTAAGTAATTTATAATTAATAAATAATTTAAAATTGGTTTTCCCATAACAAAAATATTATTTTATAAAGGATATCTAAATTATTGTTAAATAACAGAACAAATTAAATTGTTTAAATATAATAATTATTAAATTATGTTTAAAATATTAAAGAACTTTTAAACAAAAACAAACTTTTCGTTACATATTATACATTCATACATTATTTTCACATTTAATTAATTCGTGGTTTATCATCCGCATTATAATTGATAGCTGTCGTTAAGATAACATGCAAAATGCATGATAAGACATATAAATATATTTATACAGATTATATGTCACGCTATATTATATACACAAGAATATATTTAAAATAATTTCTCGACTTCACCCTCAATAATATTGAAATGTAAGAAAAATCGAGAAAAAAAAAACTGTTATTCGGAATATTAAAATTATTGCAAATGATCAATAATAAAGAAACTATGTGCGTATGTGTCTTATTTTATCAACTTAATTTAATAACTACGTATTATAATCAATACAGCGCGACCTTTAGGAGAAACACTTTAAAGGCTAATAGAGATCAACAAAAAAATCTTTTATTAAGAAACCTGTAGTCTCCCATTCTTCTGATTTTTGAGGAACTATGTGTTTTCATTCGGATTGACTGTAAGGTGTCTTTTTACAAAAACAAAATAAAAAAACATAATCTATTGTTAGATGTCACGCAATTGAATAATGATAAATAGTTCCTTAATTATGTCGGAGAATACAATTTCCTTAACAAAAGTTAATTTTTTTTATGAGTCATCTCCCTTGAAGTTTAGCAGAAATTTTATGTATGCGTGATATGTATCAACAATGTTAATTTTTTTTTTAAGGATATGTGCATGCTATAAACGTTAATTATTAAACATATATTTTAATATCTATGAATATTATTCATGTAGTTGTTGATATGAATTTATCTTTTACAGGCAAAATGGATAATCCTTTATCAAATGAAGAACCAGAATATATACGTTCGTGTAAAAACGCAAAATTTAAAAAGATATTAAGATTACTGCATCACCTGGATAAAAATGTAAACATGGGTGAACGATTTCGAGATTCCAAAATTCTGGAGGTCAGAATAATTTCGGTAGATACAAATTGGAGAGGAAGAGGTGTCGGAACGACTCTGATGGGAAAAACAGCGTAAATATTTTGTTTTTTGTAACATTTTTAAAGATCAATCAAAGTGAGAGATGCGTTCAAGAGAGCAAATGATACATTCTTGATGTACTTAAATTGCAGAGAAATGGCAAAGGAACAAGGATATCATTATCTCAGGGTAGATTGTACGTCCGTTTTTTCTGCTAAGATGTGCGAACGACTTGGTTACGATCAGATATATAAAATTAATTATAAGGACTACGTGGATGAGGACGGAAAACCAATCTTTTCACCTATATCACCACATATAGCAGCTGTCTCATATGTAAAGAAATTATAAAAATAAAGTTGAAAGATGGAATGGAAGAGAGAAGTATACATTTGGAATGAAAAGTTTGTGTAAAGAATAATAAGAAAATAGTAATATATTATTATCTTATGTCGTTTATATTAAAAATGTATAGTAGTGTTTCTATCGTAAAAAAAAAAAATAATAAATAAAATATATTTTATAATTTACTGTATGTATATAAAAAATATGTACATCGTTATTTAAATGTAATCATTGTAAATACAATAATTACTTCAAGAATAATGATTAGGTTTG